TCTCCCCATCCCCCACTCTCCGACGGCGGACAGCTCCTCGCGTTAACGTGGGTGGAAGTGTCGAAGGCTTTGGAAGCGCTGGAAGCGGCCCAGGCGGGACACAGAATAGCGTTAGGCCGCCTCCGAGATTCTAAGCGACAGGTGAGATGCCCCCTGACTATTAACTCCACACAGCTCTCACGTGGAATCGCCAGCGGTCAGCAGCATGTCGTCGTGCCCGCTTTCCTATTCCGTGCTGTTTGTGTCTTAACTTGTTTTTTCCACGTGAGCTGTGCTGTTTTGTGGAGTCGTCGTACGGACAGGATTTTGACAGAACCGCATAGCTCTTGGCGGCGCTGGTGATGGGTGCTGCTGGTGGTGGTGGTGGTGCTGCTGCTGCTGCTGCTGCCTCTTGTGGAAGCTTGCGTCCTACAAATGCAGCATGGGGTTTGTGATCGAAATGGCAGCGCTGGCGAAGATAGCAACACTGCCGGGTACTACCCAACGCTTCCCCTCACTCACACCCACCCCTCACCCCTTACGCCTTTGTAGCCACACGGTCACGCTCCTTTGAGAATTCCCTGAGCAGACACCGCCGTTCACGCTCTCGTCAACTGACACAAACTACGTTCGAGGTGGTTTTGAGTTCTACGCGGCGCCGGCATACAAACATATGGCTTGTCCGCAATGTTCTAGCTTTGCGATATTGTGTCATCCTCCCGTTTCCCATCCCGACAAGCGCGAACGAACCGCCCGGGCTGCTCGCCAAGGGGGATGTGCCCGAGAAGTTTTTCATGCACTACTCTTTTCGTCGTGTCATTCTCTTCGCCGCAGTACGTACTCCGACTACGTGAAAAACAAAGCAGCCCGTTTTGCCCGGACGCGAAAGAACAATCCCCGGACTGGCCCTGAAGTTCTTCGCGTTTCCTCTCCTCGGGAACATCCACCCGCCTGCCCGCGCGCGATGCCCCGCAGGTGGCCACGCAGCAGGAGGAGACAAGCAGCGCAAACCAAGTCGTGGACGACCTTCGCCAGGTGAACGGTGACGGCCCACGCCCGTGTTACTCTAGTCTGCTTCATGGCAGTCTCTGTTTTTGTTAGGCGAGATGGCGCTTGGCTTTGTTTGACCACGAGGTGCTTTGGCTTCGCCCACCTATTGCAAGAGCGTAGTGGCTCTACGTCTTCAGCTGACACGCGTTGACCAACGCGGTGTGTGGCTTTGTTGTGTGGGATAGCGAATAGAGTATACACGGCCTGGTGCCTCTCCAATCGATCGGTTTGCCACCTCTGTTTTTGGGCTAGGCGTGACAAGCGTTTCTTGTTTGACGTCGCGATGTCGCTCTCTCTTGCTCTGGCCTTCTCTCTCTTCCAACGGTGTGAAGTGTGTTGAAGTTCTTATTTTTTTTTGGTCTTAACTTCACGGGGGATTGATTGGTTGATCCTTCGGCTACCACCATCGAACCAACAATGAGTGTGCGTACGTGTGTGTGTGCTCTATTAGCATCGACAGCGCTATCCGGCTCACACAAGAAAACCCGTCACTCCGCTAGCCGAATAACAAACCCGAACATTCTCTCTAATCGACGGGTTCTACCAAGGGGCAAAGGGCAGGAGTTGGACGATATGCTGCTTCTGAAGTATCCGGAGAGAACTCAGTACTAGCTGTGTGTCTGCGCATTCTCGGATATACGCGAGGCGGTTTGTGTCGAGGTCGCGCTCTGATTTGACCCCATCTCATGCTTTGTTTTCTTGCTCTTGCTAGGAGTTGTCCCGGCTGCGAGGCACGGAGGCCCAGCTTCAGTCAACTTCGGCGCAATTGCAAGCTGCCAGGTGAGGCAGCACACACACGCGCAGCTTCGGCCGCACTGAGACTAACGTAGTTGCATTGGTCAACCGGATAGGGCGGGCAATGCCAAGAAAACACAGGCCAGATATACATGTGCCGTTTGGACGTTACGCGGCCGCTGTTGTTGTCCGTACGTGAGTTGCGTTCCCCTGTTGCCCTTTCTGATGTAAATGCGCCAGAGGCTAGTCACTTTTCTGATGTAAATGTGCCTCTCTCTTTCTCCCTTTTCTCATACTCTCCCTCAACGAGGGTTTTCCCTACGACGGGGAGGGCGTTCGTCCGTCCCCGCTTTCCTGACACAAGGCGTCAGCTTAGCTTTGGTATTTTCCGACTTTGCAAACGGCAAGGCAAACGTTCTCGGCTGCCGCATCCTCGCCATTAGTTTCTCGTTTTTTTTTTGTCCTTGTACATCTCCGCCCTCGCTGCCGGTAATATGCCGCTTGAACCTCACCGTTCCGAGGGGCACCGTGGTATCGGTACAACGCCCCCCCCCTCCAGATTGGTCGCGAACCTGAGGCCTGTGCTTTGATACTGCGATAGAGTTTTGTTACGTGGAATCTTCATCGCTTGTTTGAACCGGCACTCACCTAGGGACTCTCTTCATTTTTATTTTTGCTCGACACCCGAGACGGGCTTGTCACCCCTCGTTTTTATCATCCCCGTCGATGCCGTCGACGCTGCCGCTGCTGGCCCCACCTCTGCCTCACCTCTGCAACCACCGCTGGCAGAGATAGAGAACGAAGGCAGAGGGCCCACGTGGATGCGGTGTGGTCGCAGCTGTCCAGCATCGGTGCCGTCTCCCCGGGCGGCCTCGAGGACAGCAATATCGATGACAAGGACAACAACGAGCTGTTCCCGCGCCGGAAAGGTTGCCTTGTTGGAGAGAGCGGCAGCGGAGTGGCCGTTGTAGAAGGAGGTTCAATTGCTGGCGGCGGCCTGGATGACGAGGGCAGGCTGTCGGAGATCCCGCGAGGGATTCGGAGATTGGTATCGGTGAGATGTGAATGCGACAATGTATCACCCCGTCCATCCTCTCGTGTATTTCTTCTGAAACGCCAAGAAAGGGCGTATCGTTTGAGGCTCGAGTTTTGTCTGCGCGTTGACCTTTTCCGGCTTGTTTCGGTTGGTTATTGTTGCTGGTACCTTCCCTCGTGTTTGTTTTTTCTTTTACACTGAAGGCCGAGCGTTGCATCGAGGGCCTATTTTTCATGCCCATGGCTCGACGAAAACGATCTTGTGCGATCTCGTCGTCTAGCGTAACCACTTGTTGTGCCTTGCACGTGACACACGAGCAGCCGACCCAACCAGCGACCTGTGGAGCCGTAGCATTTAGCTAGAGTGTAGAGTTATTATTATCCTATATCCCCCTCTTGAGCCGCGTCGAAGAAACCCCTTCCTTCTTTCCTCAGCCTGATTTTTTTGTCACGTATACAGTCGCTTCTCCCATATGTCAGGGTACCTTGTACGTTGTGAGAGGGGCTCCGATTGTAAGCAGGTCGGAATCGGTTATCACGTGTCACGGACTGGACCCGCGACGGTCTTGTTGGGGACCCTCTTACTCCGGTAATAGAGGAGGCTCCGTTACAAGAGGGTCAAGGGCCTTTTCGCCCAAACCTGACGTATCACGACAATAATTAAATCTACACGCTACACAGGAGTGGGCCGACCGCGGCAAAGGTTTGGAAACCTTGACTGGGCGTCTGCGGGAAGAGGGGGCGCGGCGAGACGAGGAAAGAAGGGAGCTGGAGACCGCCGCTGCCGCCGCCAGGGAGGAGGCAGAGGCCCGGAGGGAGGAGGTGGCGAGACTGGCGGTGGATTTCGAGACTAGGGCGGCGTGCGCAGAAGCGGGGATGGACGAGAAGGTCGGTCTGGGCCTCGGTGGGATGGTACATGCTTGTTGGCGTTGCGGTGGGGTTCGTGTCCTACTCTTTTTTGCTACCCCCCGCCCTTGTTGATATTTGGGACCCGTCATTGTGTTTGTTTCTTGTTTGAGATTTGGGCCCATGTGTGTGTTCAGCAGGCGAGTGGTTTGCAGTAGTAGTCGTTGCACACGGCAGGCTGCCTGGCTGATGGGTATTTTGTTAGTACGGGTGGGCATCTCTCCGTGTAATGAGATAGTGAAACCCACACATGTCCCAGGAACGACCGCGTCTATAGCCATCGTGTACAACCAAGTATCTCCGACCAATGAAACAGCGACTGCGCTACAGCCCCCCCCCCACCCCCTGTACGGAGGCGAGGCATGATGCCGCCCCGCAGACCTAGGGTAGTCGTCGCGTATCATGGGAGTGATCGGTACTCCCGCCCCCGCCAACGAATGGCTAAACGACAGAGGAAAGGAATCACCCTCCCCTGCACGATTGGCTTTTGGTGATCGGTCGTGTGGGAACAATGCTCCATCCTCTCGAGGACGGAGCGTGGTCGATGATCTAACAACCAAGGAATGCAAATCACGAGATCCCCTCTGGTTTACCCATGTGAGACGAACCCTGGGCTTACCCGACACATCGCTACCTCCCTGCGTTGTAGGAGCTCGAGGTCTACGGTCTAACGACTACGCCGGCTGCGTTTACGTGTGTACCCCCTTGGTCCTCTAGGTGGCCAAAGTCCAAGCCGACGCCGTGGCAGACGCAAACCTAAGGGTTTCCAATGTTTCGGAGGAGGCGTCTCGGAGGGTGGCCGCGGCCACCGCCGACGCCGCTCGCCAGGTAGCAGAAGCGGTCGAAACCGCCGAACGAAAGGTTAAGGAGGCTGCCTCTGACGCCGAGGAGAGGGTGGCGCTGGCGAGGGGGGACGCGGCTGAGAAGGAGGAGGAGGCGAACCGCAGGGTTTCCGAGGCGGAAGAGGCATGTTTGGGCTGTGTGTATGGGGAGAGCTTTCGGGAGTCTGTCTTTTCCTTGTAAGAATTTTGGCTCCACTGATTTTGTGAGGCTCGTTTATGTTTTCCTTATGCTGGCTGCTGCTCGTCGGTGCAGTTGGAGCTCTCCCCAGAATCAAACAATTTTTAGTCTATGATCATGTTACACAACAATGCCCTCGTGTTTGTACCAGGCATTTCACTCATGGGAAGCACTTCACTTGATCTCCATATTTGTTCAAGCGTGAAGACACTTCCGTATCAGCTATCCCTCCTACCTACGTGCCTGCTCATCCCTCCTCCGTACCCGGCCTATCTTATGCTGTGGTTCGACCCTGTTGACCAATGGTCTAACAACTAAGGCCAGCAAAACAACATGAGGACGCACCCCCACCCCCCCTCCCCCCCCCGGCGCGGCACAGGCATTGGCGGCGGCAAGAGACAGCGAAACGGCAGCCGTCGCGCTCTCCCGTTCGGCAGTTGAGAGGCAGCTCTCCGCCGAGGCGGCCCTGAAAATTCTGGGAAGGTTCGTTGGGCCGCTGCACCGACTGTGCCTGGAGCTGAGAGAGCAGAAGAGATTTCTCTCAAGGAGCTATCGGAGAGATGCCCCGCTTCAGGTGCGTTTGGGTCATTGGGTGGGTGACTTTTTAACCGTCGCGATGTGGTTGGTGTGTGGGTGCCGCTCGTGTCATGTGTGTGTGTGTGTAGTTGTGGGTGAGTTCCTCGCCACCCTCCATCTCTCTCTCTCTCTCTCTCTCTCTCTCTCTTTCTCTCTCTCTCTCTTT